CTTGGGAGAGAAAAACAGTATCTGGGGAGTTGGGTGATCTCTTGACATTGCACCTGGATCGTGTAAGGGAGCTGGGAAAGTTGTAAGGGAAAATGTTGGTTTACGGTGCCCATGGCCATTAAAGAGACAGGAATGAAGGGCTGGGAGTTTGTATGCTGCTGAGCCATGATCCAAGTATCTAATCTGGAAGCAGTGCAGGGGAAACCCTCTGAGTTATGTGGCTCCAACAACTGAATTCCTCCTCTGTCCTTGAAAGCCAATGGGCTCAAAATGCCACCATCCACAGCTCTCATTTATTACCCATCCCCACTTGCATCTTGACTGGTCATTTCAGCACAAGGATGATGCACGTTGCCAAGCCAGTGTCCATTGACTCTGGAACTTTGAAGACATTCTTTGCTGTGAGACCTAATCTGCAGCCAGAGAGTTTCTGAGCAAACCCAGCTGAGAGTTCTCCAGTTTAGAAAAATGCATAAAAAGCAATGGGCTGTTTTACTGAAATGTAAATGTTTATGGGAAATCCATGTTCCTTTGCTGTTTTCTCTCAGAATGTCGTACTCAAAAAGCACTTCCACAAAAGGAAACTTTGCAAATACTTAGCCAAATGTGTGAAACAATAGCTAATGCCCCTCTGCTCCCCCAGCTCTTTCTGATTTCCATTGGGGAAAACTAAAGTTTTCCTCACCTTTGAAATTTTCCACCCTTGAATTCTAGCTCTGAAATTTGCTGTCACGAGGCAGTCGTGTTATTGTTCTGCTGTAGGACTCTTTGTGTTATATTGGCAATAGCATTAGATTGTTGCATTTTGATACAGCTGAATAGGTAATCAGCCTATGCTGTTTACTCCACCGTGGCAATGCCACGGCAGGTTTTGGTGCTGCAGCTGGAAATCAGCTCATCCGCTTGACTGTGTTGCACATCAGCTGCTTTCGGGCTGGCAGCAGAATGGGAAGAGAGGGGCTCAGGTTTGGGATCATTACTCAGTGATTTCCAGCTATCTTTGATTAATGACAGCTCTCTGGTGGGTCACACATGTCCTTGCATGGGGTCTCCATGCTCATGTGAGTGTGCCAGGTCGCTTTCAGCATCCATGGGATCCTCCGGCTGCCAGCTCAGCGGTGCATGGCTGGAGACTGACAACTAATGGTTAGTTTGCAAATAGCTGCATAAAAGATCAGAGGATAATGTGCGAGGGGAGGGCAAAGGAGAAGGAAGAAGGAAAATTACTGGTAGTGCTTAAAGAAAATTGATTCCCATTTCATTTTTATTTAGTTCGATATTAATTCTCAGCAATAGGGTTTTTAATGCAGAATTTCACCCGGCTTTCATGCAGTATCAGGGTCTGGTGATACGATGGAAACTGTGACTATAATTAAGAGGGCCACATACTCATCTCAAACTTAATTTCTCCAGGCTTAATTCTCTTCCCAACCCAGGACAAATCAGAAATAATTTCATTTCCATTAATGCATTTCCCAGCCATGTGAATCTGATGGAGCAGAGCAGCCCCTCAAGTCCTCCATCCCCTGCTAAAGAGAAGACTTCACATGTGCTACAGCATTCCTGAGAATAGTAAATATGAGACTGTTAGATCAAAGTGATGGAGCTTTTGAGGTTTAAGGTTTTGAGAGAGACAATAAGGGGGAGAAGAGAGAGCACGACACTTTTAAAGAAACAGGGCAACTTGGGAAAATTTACCTTCATGCAAGTACAAACTGATCAATTCTCATATTGTTATAGACAAGAAGGGAAGAAAAGGGAGGTCTCTACAGGTCCTTGAACACTGCCCAGGACGTGAGAGCATCTGTGTGCCCTCACAAGCTGGCCAGATCCTTTAAGCCTGTCACTTACCGCCCTTTCCTGGGGATGCTGCAGGAAAAGATCCTACAGGTATCAGGTCACATCTGGGCACCTGCATCTGTGGGTGGTAATAAGGAAAAGTGTGGAGTCTCCAGCAAAATACCTGTAAAATGGGGCTTTTGGAAGAGCATAGGTCATTTTGGTCAGGAGGAACAAAAAGCCCTGAGTCTCTGTGTCCAGGGAAGGTAATGGAGAGGTTACAAAAAGGGAAGACCCTCTGAGCTGCATCAGAGGCTGAGAAGAACCCTGTCAGTGCTGCAAAGAGAAAGATGAGGAGGGGGTTCTGAGGCACAGAAAGCATTCAGCTCTGTGGGAGCTACCTGGCTCCATCCTTTCCTCACCTTCAAAATTCATCACCCTTGAATTCTAGCTCTGAAAGTTGCTGTCACGAGGCAGTTGTGTTACTATAACGCAAAGACCCTTTGCGTTATATTGGCAATAGCATTTGATTGTTGCACTTTGATATAACTGAATAGGTAATCAGACCACTCTTTATTATAGCCTGAGGATATGCCTTTGATTTGTAGAGGTTGGCCATTTCTTATCTGAGTTTGAAAATGGGATTATTTAAATGTCTATTGATGTTTTTCATGTGGTCTAACTGCGCAGTTCAACATGGTAATTCAACTCATAGCTATACCAGATTGTTATCTAATCTGATAAGATATGAACAGCACAAAGCCGAGATGATGAAACAATCGGGATTGTTGACTCACTGGGGTCCTTCTAAATCCAGTCTGCTTTCATACTTAATTATCCTGTCAAGTTCCTGCAATCTTAGCTCCTCCAGCACTGTGATGGCGAGAGCGGTGGTAGTGACAGCACTTGGTGAATACGTAAGTTGATCAAAATAATTTCAGCCGATACAATGGCTATTTATGCCTCAACTGCAATATGAAAAGCTACTGATTCAAATACCCTAGACTGCAAAATGGCCCTTTTAAGCACTTCTAGGATCACTGAAAGCCGTTATTAAAGGTCTCTGGAAGTTAATGTTTTGCTAACATGAGCTGCTACCTGACTATCACATACCAGAGGGGGAAAAAGAGCAAGTGAATATTCAGCCTCATTTTCTTCCTAAACTGGGCTTTTCATGCTACCTACACCAGGCACTTTACCTGACCCTGGAAACTTTGCTGGAAACCTACAGCCCATTCTTCCTGATACTGCTTACATCATACTTTAGTCTTATTATGACTGCCACTTTTATTAAAGGATAATTAAGCTGTATTAATCACGCCTAAAAGGTAGCTTCTAAAGGCTTCCCCCACCACTTGCAAATAGGTCATATTTTCAGTCTTTTTTCTTGATCATCTATGGGAGTGATCATGAGAGTAAGCGTGGTATGACAAGAGATAATGGCAGAGGTAGTGGTGCCTATAGCAGATACTTGGGTTATTCACGAAAACAAGCATTAAGGAACAAGCAGAAGTCGTAGAAGTATTTAATGGTCTGAATTGAAATCATATTAATGTAAGTTTTACAGGGGTCTTTGCTGTTAATGTGAAGTCAGCATTTTGCTGTCATAGAATCATAGAATAGTTAGTGTTGGGAAGGAGCTTAAGATCATTTAGTTCCAACCCCCCCGGCCATGAGCAGGGGCACCTCACACTAAACCATCGCAGAGTAATCTGGGTATGGAGACCCATTGATGGTGATGTTTTAAATGGTCAGAGAAGGAAAAAAAGGGCCCATAAGTGTGGATGGAAATCCCAAAGATCAAAATAGCACTGTGTCAAGCATCTTGTACTGATTACCTCACTGGCAGATTCACCTGCGGATGTATCTGGAGCAATTGTTAAGAGCTTTGTTACGCTATAGAGCAGCCAGTCAAGCATCCTTGTATTTAAAATCGACACTAAAAATACCCAGATATTGAAAGATGCTGCTTTATCTACTAGGTGTGTTTTAAAAGGAAAACCACTGCTCCAGTTAAAAGCCTTATCAACCGTGAGACTGAGTGATTTAGATCAAAGCTGTTAGTGCTCCCTCTGAGAGGCAGCACCAGGTAAAACCACCCGCTTCTCAGAGCGCTGAGCACTTCACTATGAAGATCAGTACTGCCATGCTTCTCAACATCTAGACTGTGGAAACTTCTGGCCACAAATGGTACAGGAGCCTTAATCCACGAGCCTTTCATGTTGGTCCCCTCGAAAATTGTAGCTATTATGTTTAAATTAATAATGCTATTTTCTGCTGAAATTGCAGAGTGCTGGGTGAGAGAGCCTTGCCCTGCCCCAGTATGCACGGGGTGACAGGAGGACCTGCCCTGGTCTTTCAGAAAGGCTGTAATTAGCATGGAAAGAAAAGACCAACTGTTGTTTGAAAATGTTAATGCTAAAGGTCTCATTTAAGCCAGCGTCTCTTGTATAAGCCCATGTTCCTCATATAAACTTATATAAAAAGAAGTAATTTTCCTGCTCTTTTTCCTTCCCCCTGTGGGGAACTGTACTTTTCAGTGGCTCTTGGCCCTCCCTGGCTCCATCCACACCATTTCTCCAGCTTCCCTAGCCCATTTCCAAGCAGAAGTGATGCCAGGAGCCTTTCTCAACCCCTGCTGCTGACCATCTCTCTCCCATCCCCTCCTCAGTCACAGTTCATCCTTTCACAAGCCACTTCAGCAGTGAAGGGTGCAGCTTAAAGCCAAACCAATCCCACGGGAAAAATCAATGGAGATTGATCAAGAGCTGCCCAGTAAAAAAATAAGATGATGGGAAACCCTCTTGCCTGTGCACACACTGAAGCTGTGGCCACCCCTTTGCTTGAGACTGTCACTATTGATGGGAATGCAACCGTATGTTTGTCCCTAAACATGTGTTCAACCCAACAGGCAGACAGACAGCAGGGCAGACAGATGCTGTGGCTGCGGAAGAGGGTGTTTTCTCTGTGCTGTCTCTGGGAATTACAGCCTAAGAAACCCAGTTACATGCACGTATATGACAAGCTTTTGAAATTGGATGACTAAAGGTGTGTGAGAGGGCAGGGTTAGAGACATGCTTTTCTGTGCTTGTCCATATTGTTTATGTTTGAAAGCCAGGGATTGTTCATTGCAGGACCCAGGTCCTTAAATATTTTCTGATGCAGCAGAACTAAGCAAGCTCATACCCCGGAGCATCCATCCTTTACACATGCAGGCAAACAGAGAGCCTCAGACCTTGAGATACACATTAGTGTTTGGCTTGACCAAACCTTGCTCGTTTGGGAACATTCTGAGTATATGGTTTCCTTTTAGTAAATCTAAGCCCTCTCCTCGTCAGACTCTTCCACCCAAGAGCTCCTTTGTGCAGCTGCTGCCTCCAAGGGCTGCTGTCACATTCCCCCTGTGCACATGGACCTGGCGGTGACCCTCATTCCCAACCACACCTGGGCTTGCTGATGAGGTTCAGAATGCCTTAAAACAGGTTAATTTGTAGGAAAGTGACAGAAATAAATTGCTGGCACTTTTGTGTGCTGATAAGTTTAACCTTTTTTTTTCCCCAAGCAGCTAAATTGCCAATCATCCGGAACCACACTGGAGTTCACCCATTACATAAAGGAAGCTGTTAGTCTCATTTAAAACAATATTGACCTTTTTCCCATCCTTTCCATTTTGACTAAATTACAGGATACATATTTGAAATGTGGCTTTTGTCTGACTGTAACCAGGTGACCCTGGTTTTTCCTCCTCCTTTTTTCTCCTCCCTTACAGCTTTCAACCTTTCCTTTCTACTTCTAACACAGTTCTTCATTTAACCACCGAGGCTTTCAAATCCAGAGATATTCAGAGTTTGCATGATATGTATAATTTCCAGTTACAAAAATCCACCCCTGGAAACTAAAGGAGATGGTGGTGCACCCTGGAATACACGGAGTGGGGGGAGCAGGGGCCATTTTGAAAACTTGAGAAGTGGCTCTGCTCTTCCAAATTCAGAGCAGTGAGGGTGTATGACCTTCAGTTTCACTCTAGTTTCATCTGCAACATTACCAATAGGTTCTCTTCTGGGAGCAAAATTATTCTTGCTAGGAAAGAATGTGTTATTTTCCCTTGATTTTATCTTTGAATCAGGCTGTGAGTATGTATGGCTCCATGTAAAACCAGCATAACCCATTCTGAGATTCTTTCCTGCACATATTTTAGTCCATTTAGGGCATTGTACTGACCTCCAAAGTCAGCTTCTGAGGACACTGCAATACAAGAGTGAGGCCCAAGTTGTTTTTCTTTTACCCAAACCCTCTGATAGCAGTGTGGCCTTATAGGTAGATTCTATTTGTGTTTCCTTTGTTGTTTCCTTAAGAAACACAAAGAGACAAAGTCTCCCTGCTCCAGCGTCCTTCCTTCCTTCCCAGTTAGTGCCTAGTGACTGCTTGGCATTGACGGTGTTTCCATAGACTAAGCTGAAGCCTCAGCTGGGGTAAATCCCTGCATCTGCATTGCAACAAAGGATGGAGGCTTAGTTCCATCGACTGAGGATCTGAACCATTCATCAGTGTGCTCATGGCATTTGTTTCTTGTATTAACTTTTCCTGGATAAAAACTAAAAATGTTCCCATGTACGTTCTGCTGGCTCTTGGCTCACACAGAAATGTATTTTCTAATGCCAAACTTAAATTAATACCAGCAGTTATCTAATCCAGATGTTTGTTGGTTCCTTATATATTATTTTTCTACATCACTGAAGTGTGGGGTTTTTCCCTCAGTCAATCCTACCTTAGCTGTTCCAGTGCTTTTTGCAAGAATCCTGAGATGAAGGAAGCTTTGGGAAGCTTTAGGATTCCCTGGCCAGGGAAGCATTTATACTTCCATTAAACTTAGAAAATACAGGCCTCTTCTGTGGGAGCATTTATCCTGCAGGTTTGATTCCACAATATTGAGAGCCAAAAAAGAACATGGTCTTGTCCAGCTTTAACCCCTTCAGTATTTGAATCAGTGATATTGAAAATGGCTTGAAATGTTTCAACATCTTCCCTAGGAAAGAGACATTTAGAAGCAAACTGCCAACAGAGAAAATCATTCCTTCAGGTTGGTTACTGGGACCATGTTCAACCCATCTGCGGGAATATTTGGGTTGCATTGCTGGGCTTTGATCAACTCTCCTGCCAATACCAACATCTTAATAGGCTGTGAAGGGACAACTTCTTCCAACCACCATGTCTAGGTTTTGTGACCAGGTCTGGGGAAAAGAGAGGAACCAAGTCGACTTGGTTGCTACATGGGCTGCAGGCAAATAAGTTCTCAGGTTAACCGGTGTGTGCTTCTGTGGCATATCCATGCCTCTGCTCCTCCTCCTCTGCTTCCTGGGCAAGGAGCAGCCCAAACCTTCCTCCACAGGGCAGAAGCATTACATTTTCCCTTTGGGCTGGCAGAGCTGCAGAGATGCTACAGGTTGGGCAGAGAAGAGATTCAGAGCAGCCCTGCGGAGAAGGACTTGGGGGTGTTGGTTGATGAGAAAATGAACATGGGCCGGGAGTGTGCTCTTGCAGCCCAGAAAGCAACCGTATCCTGGGCTGCATCAAAAGGAGCGTGACCAGCAGGTCCAAAGAGGTAATCCTGCCCCTCTACTCTGCTCTCGTGAGACCTCACCTGGAGCATTGTGTGCAGTTCTGGTGTCCTCAACATAAAAAGGACATGGAACTGTTGGAACAAGTCCAGAGGAGGCCACGAGGATGCTCAGGGGACTGGAGCACCTCCCGTGTGAAGACAGGCTGAGAAAGTTGGGGCTGTTCAGCCCAGAGAAGAGAAGGCTGTGTGGAGACCTCAGAGCAGCTTCCAGTATCTGAAGGGGGCCTATAGGGATGCTGGGGAGGGACTCTTCATTAGGGACTGTAGTGACAGGACAAGGGGTAACGGGTTCAAACTGAAACAGGGGAAGTTTAGATTGGATCTAAGGAGGAAATTCTTTCCTGTGAGGGTGGTGAGGCACTGGAATGGGTTGCCCAGGGAGGTTGTGAATGCTCCATCCCTGGCAGTGTTCAAAACCAGGCTGGATGAGGCCTTGGGTGAGATGATTTAGCATAAGGTGTCCCTGCCCACGGCAGGGGGGTTGGAACTGGATGATCTTAAGTTCCTTTCCAACCCTAATTATTCTATGATTCTATGCTGCCTTGGCAAAGGTTTTGGGGTTTGCATTTAATTCTAGTAACGCTGGTAGAGCAATTTCTTATCTTTCAGTTCAACTTTAGAGCATCCAAACATTCATTTAGAAGCACACAATGCGAAGATGTGCATGCTGGACTTATACAGTGATAGGAGTAAGGTAATCCTACCTGCTGTATGCAGCCTGTAGATTATCTGGTTTTACTCAGCATTAGTATGCGCCTGCGTGTAAAATTGCCCCACACAATTATTCAATCTCATGGCAACTATTCAGTTTGCAAAGCAAAAATAATCATGTGATTACCCTGTAATTAGCTGATAGTTACTAATCAATTACATCTGCAGAGTTTGCCTTCCACTGAGGAGGTGCGTTGTGGTTTACAGGGAAGGTACGATGCCTGCCCCGAGCAGCTTACAGGCCTCCAGCCTTGCTTTGCTGCATGGCTGAGCAGTTCCTGTGCCTCAAAGAAGGAATATGGGACTAAACTCCTCATTAGAGCTGAATGGCAGGAGCTGGGCATCTCATGTACCAGCTCTAGCGTTGGCAGGGTCTGGGTAGGATGTGCACAGTCTCATTGTGAGGGGGTTAATACTGAACAGGTTGGCTGCAAAAGTGCGTTTGAATGAGGCTGAAGTGAAGAAAGCAAATGTATTCCCCAAACATTTGTATATTCCTGTTATCTTTTGTCTTCTCCAGGCTTAGCATCAGGGCTGCTTCATTCAGGGGGGGCTGTTTGACACCCCTGCAATGAAAATAAGCACGGAGTGATGTGTATTCTACAGGTTATTTTTTTTACCTTGGTATCCCTGTTTTCCTGAAGGGATGAGCATTACAGTCTACACACAACCAGAAAGGAATTTCTCCTATGTATGCTGGCAGTGCAGCTTTGCTCTTCTGGCATGCAGCTGGGAACAAGGCACTGGGTTTACCTGTCCCTTCCCCACTGAGCAACAGTGTCCAAGGCTGGAATATTCACAATCACTGAGAAAATGGGATTAGCAAATACCTTTGAACAACCACAGAAATCTGGTAAAGACCCAGATCTCTGGATGTGCACTCAGAAAACTCTCCCAGAACATCTTCGGCTCGAGCTTGGATGTTCATTGGGCACACCGAGGCACGGATGGTTTTGTGATATAAGGAGCAGTGCTGGGAAAACGGACGGGAGACGTGAAGCTCCCGGCAGGTTTGAAGAGCAGTTTGATAAATATTTCTGCTGTGAAAGGAGGAAGTAAGACATGACAAGAATAAAGATGTGTCTGTGAGAAATTAGGCAGGAATTTGAAGGGAAGGCTGGAAAGCTCAGTGCTGCGGGAGAGAAGCTTATTTTTGGGAGAGATGGGGGAAAAGAGTAGAAATATGATGGAAGAGGGAGCAAGAGACCTGCTCAAGGGAGCAAGAGGTGAGAAGCTTGTGGACCTTTGGGTAGGAAACTGTGTAGTCGGGTGCAAAACCATGTCACCTGCTCAGCCAGTCATGAAGGCTGGCAGGACTGTGCTGTGGTCCCACGGCTCTGATCCCTTGTGACTGCTTCCAGGGTGGCTCTGCCGGTGCTAAGGACCACAGTCCGGCCGGGAAGAGCCTTTCCTCTGAGGAGCAGGGCTGGATGCATGCACCTGCACGGCGTGGGGGAAATTCCTCCTCCTCTCCAGTGCTTTTCTCCCTCCCTTTCTATCATCCGAACCACCTATTAAGAAAGATCCCGACAACACCATTAAAATGTCTTGCGTCGATTGCAAACTCATTGTTCGCTGGAAGCTAATCAGAGCCCGGGTAAACACAACGGCCCCTTCTCCCCCAGCCTGACGTTTCATTTACACAAGAGCTCAAGCCCTCGCACCGGCGCTCTGCCATGCAGCCGTCAGGCATTGATTGTGCTATTCAGCAGGATGGCTCAATAATTACAGCCCCGGATCTCCAAACCACACCAAAGAGCAGGCTTACCACTGCTAGCCTTTGTTGCTAATTGTCCTTCAGGATACTTGAGATGAATTACCGTGGCTTACATTTTCCTGGGTTGTTTTTTTCCCTTTCTCTTCTATTGGGTTAAAATAAAGAGAAATCTTTCCATT